ACGGCTACGGCTACCGCTACCGCTACTGCTACTGCTAAGGCTGCTGCTGCTGCTATTATTATTATTATTATTGTTATTATTACTATTTTTGGCATCACTGTGACTATTACTGTTACTGCTTCTAGCTGCTACTACTACTGCTGCTGCTGTTGCTGCTACTACTGCTAGTGCTGCAAGTGTGCCAAGCGGGTGACAAATACTACAGCTACTGCTACTACTGCTTCTACTGCTACTGGTACTGCCACTACTACTCCGAGTACCACCGCTACTCCCCCTGCTGCCGCTGGTACCTGCTTAGTTGTATGACCAGAGTTTCTGGACTTGTTGTTTGATGCTATAGGCGAGCATCATCTTGACGATTCTCAATAGTGCCGGAACATGTCCAGAATGTCATGAGTCTCATTGTCAGTAGTACTGTGGTCCTTCCCACCGTCATCGTCACCATTTCACAAATATGAGGTATCTGAGATATGTTTTGTTCTAGTGCGGCTCCTCCCAAGAAAGCTCGGGCTTGCAGGCAGAGGATCGAGAGAACAGCGAGTGGCAGCCTGCTTCCGCGCTCGAGGGGCAAAGCCTAGCACGGCCCTGGCGGTTCAAAGCCCTCATGAGCAGCCAAAAAGGGTTTTGAGGGTTCGGGAATTTGGTGTTCATGTGGGTGTTTGAAAATACAGGGCTGACGGCTGGGGTCCAGGGCCACTTGAGGATGGCTGTCGGGCTGTGTGGATTGTCGAAGCTTGAGCCTGGCTGACACAACAGGAGTAGTGAAACAGCGCGGGGTAGGTAGAGTGCAGCTTCTGCCGCAATCGTGCCCTATTCCTTGAACCGTGTTGCTGCTTCCAAGGCCGCTTCTTAATCGGAGTCCTTCAGAAAGAAAGCCTCAGCTGAGTTTGTTTTGACGGTCTTGGTTGCTGCGATGTGCCAGTGCTTGGGCTGGCGCATGGTATCCAGCAGCTTCTTGCCGCAGCTGTCAGGTGTTAATTCGACCGTTCCGGTAATGGAGGGACGGACCAAAGCAAGATTGTCCGGCCAGGACCACGACCTCATCAAACCTGTATCCATTGCAAGAGCCTTAAGATTAAGAACCCTGAACTAAGCCAAAGAAACCCTAAACCCAGAAGTAAGCAATATTGGATTGCAAATCCTTGTGAGAGCCATGGCGGAGCAGGAGCCAACGTTGAATCAAACTCCGGACAAGTCCCTTGGTGCTGCCTTGTTGCGCCGGCATTGGGATTTGGGTTTTGCAGTTTAGAGTGTCGGGCTTTAGAGATCCATCGTTCAGAACTTCAGGCGCATGGAGCTTGGCTGAGGGAATTCAGAGCTTAGTGGATTGCCGTCCCTGCTCAAAAAAAAACGAACTTCAGAGCTTTAGGGTTTGGGTACTTCGGATGTTAGGATCAGGAATCAGGCTTCTGGTTTGCTACGAACATTGGCCGTGCAATCCAGCAGGTCAAGCGCGGCCGAGGATCTGCTGCTAGTATACCGGCCTACACAATTCTGACTATGTAGTAATAAGATACGTCCGGCTTCTACTTATTGCCTTCCTTCTATTGATGTGGCGCCCGCAAGTTGAGGTCCAGCGGGCAGAGCTTGTCAAAGCCGAAGACGGTACAGGCTGGGGTAGGTGTAGGAGTGTGTGATTCTGGGAGTGTTTAAAAGCCATGTTTCGGTCAGGTCCAGGAGCTTATCGTCATAAGATGCAGCTAGAGAAACCACCAAAGGGCATGGATTTTCTCTGTAAGTACATACAATTACTGCTCGTCTGTCATGTTACACCGCCGAACTTCTGCTTGAAAGGCACGAGAATACACACATGTATGCATGTATGTACGTTGTGTGGTTGCATATATATATATATATATGTATATATATATATATGTATGTATGTATATGTTACCTATACTGGTAGTATAAGGAACCCTGTTCCTGATAGTAGGATTCCGTCGGCTTGCTGACATTGTGGCATATACCCTTGGTCCAACGTTTCCAAATTCACTGCCATTAGCACCTCGAGCTGAACCCCTCGACGCGTTTACCCCATGGACTTTTAAGCCTGCAACACTTAGAGGTTGAAGTCGCAGAAGACAACGACAAATCGCCCCGGTGGATGTTGTTGGAAATTCGGCTGATCCTACTTCTCCTGCCCCTGCTTCTGCGGGTCCTGTTGCTGCTGCTGCTGCTGCTGCTGCTGCTGCTCCTGTGGCGGCCGGTACCTCCAAGCTGCACTCGTTGTGGGTGTCATCGAACATCTTTCACCTGCTCACATTATCTCACTAGTTTTCAGCTTCTATGTCAACATCACCATCATCATCATCATCATCATCGTCCTTGGTGTTTCCCTATTGACAGTGTTGGTTCATCCCTAGCTTTTTCACAATGCATTTAAGGTCCCGGAAGGCCATTGGACAGGCTCCTCCAACTTCCTTTAGCCTTGACGAAAGTCTTCTTCGGGAGAGGCTCTCCTAGAGCGGCATCCCCTGCTGAAAGACGCGCTGCCGCCGCTGCTTCAGGCGCTACTCCGAGATTTTTCGATTTATTTGGACGAAAGACAGTAAGGTTAACCAGACAAGGAAGCGCATGTCAGACACTGAGGCTTTGGGGTTCAAGTGGTGGGAGTTCCGAGAGCTTGTCATGTTCAACTGGTTGAAAGGCCGCAGTTGCTGTGGTGACATCTTAATTCTCTCGAAGCACCAAAGGGATCGATCTGTATCCATGCTTCTTGCATGGAGCTCGAGAGCACCGTAGCTCATTCTAGCCCCGAAGGAGATTCTGAGCCTGGATAGGAAACTTTTTGCTGATCTTGGAGCCTTATCATCGCAACCTTTAGCCTTGTTGGGGGTTGCTGTAATACAGAAACTCGACAGCTAGGATATAAACCCTCCACCACCGCAACTATCAGAACTATCAGGACCTTTTGGATGATGCCGATGTCTGCGATGCTGGACAGCCGTTTGCGAGCGACACTGTCTTCGTGAATTTCCTCGTCGCCGAGCCACATGTGTCAGAATCCAGGGATGACAAGGGATTCGCCATGATCCTGGACCGCAAAACCGAGAAAGTACAATTCAAGTCACACAGGGCTCAGGAAGCTTGAGATAGGCAACTGCACCACAAGACCCAGGGAGAGTTCGGGGTTTAGCAGCACATGCAAAACGCTGCACGATGTTTTGTGCACGTCTTTTGCTCCAAGCAAGCACCCATCTACTGCGGCTTGGAGTTGAGTGGCTGCAACATGCATGACCGACGCTGGCAATCACAGGATTTGAGCTTGGACCCCGGAGCCTGGCCGGATCAGCCGAGGCCGCGAAAGTCATGGTCGCCACGAAAGTTCGTGAGATCATCGCGGTGATCAACCGCACCACTCTGGAAGTCCCTGCAGCCGAGAGAGCAAGAAGCTTTTGGAAAGCATCGGTCCTCTCAGCACACATGGACTGCTGCAGGAAATCTTAAAAGTGCCTGGAGTGTGAAAAGGCTCCTAATGCGTTCGGAATCACATGTTATGACTGGTGTTGGCGCACTAGTTGTAGGGTTAGAGGACGCAGGAGAGAAGTCAACATGTCGAGCTTGAGCCTGACACTTGGTTTCAAGGCTGGCCAGAGCAAGGGAAAGAGGGCACCAGAGAAAGGCAGCCAAGGAAATCTGTGCCCTGTCCTGGAAAGCCATCCCACTCCCTAGAAGACCACTCGTCGATACATTTGGATGTTCCAACTCTCCACCGCCAAAGTGCGGAGGATGTGATGCCATGAAGCCCCTGCCTGCCATGCGGTTCCGTCACGCTCTGCTTCTGATATGGAGTGTTGCCTGGGCGACCATGCCGCGCAGTGCCTTCACTACCACCAAGAGGTCAGCGAATCTTCCTGCGCCTGCACCCTGCGTGTCTCCGACAACTCATGGTCTCAGGCGGCCACACCCAGCTGCAACAAAGCTCTTTCTCTCAGGGTTCAGTTTGGGCCTTGTAGCCTACGCTGCCGGTAGCCACCGCCTGCGCCGACAGAAGTTTTGTACATCCAGTGCCAGGCAGTCGGTCGGAACATCACTGGACCCAAGCTTTGGGTTGAAGCAGGATCAGAAAGGTCGTCGCTTGGGCACTTCGAGACTCACTGGCTTCGAGGAGTTCATGGCCCAGTTGGTGGGGGCGCCCGAAGGACCGGTGCAGCTGGACGAGGCCGACTACCGGGCCCACGTCTTCGATGCGCAGGAGCAGATGAAAGCACTGGCGAAGTCGTCGGAGCCTTTCACCTTGGACCAGTCTGGCAACGCGGGCTCCATCTATGGCATCGGCAGACGAGAGTATCAGAAGCAACACGGCCGCCTGAACCTTTCACGCCTTCGTGGCATCATTGATTTCGACTCTGCCGCACGGACGGTGACAACAGGAGCGAAGACGGATTTCAAGACCCTCACCCGGTTCTTGCTGGATCGCGGCTTTATCGTTCCCGTCGTCCCAGAGGTGGACACCGTCACAGTGGGAGGGGCCATATCGGGAATTGTCATGGAGGCCGCGAGTTTCCGACACGGCTTCGTACACAACACTGTGCAGAGCATGGAGGTGCTGCTGCCAGATGGCAGCGTCGTTCTCTGCAGTCGCGAGGACAATGCTGAGCTTTTCAATGCGATCCCCCATTCATATGGCACTTTCGGATACGTGTTGAGCGCGACCATGCTGGTGGTGCCGGCAGAGACTGAAGTGATGCTTGGCTCTGGAACAGCAGCACTTGTCTTTTTCGCGAGGCTTCACATGCGCCTTCCTTTCATTCGAGCTTTTCACAGCACGAAATCGTAAACGGCCTCGTTTGATTTATGATGGACCCAGGATGGTTAGGGTCCAGGAGCTCCCAACACCCCGAGATGCTGTGGATGGCATTGCCAAAGCTGCCCGAGATCCTGCCGTGGATTTCGTCGAAGGCATTATCTTCGGACAAGACCGTGCCTTGACGATGACTGCTTCCATGTGTGCGCCGGAGTCGCTCGAATCGAATTTGTCTACCGTCGTATTGCCAGACGACGGCAGGTACATAGATGTGGTGTGCAGGCATTTGGATGAGAGCAGAGCAAACTGGCATTCTAAGAACGTGTCCTGCAGTTTCCGCATGTCAACCTTCGATTTCTTGTATCGCTGGGACTGTGACATCTTCTGGGCCACCCGGCGAACGAATTTCCTTGGCGTCCCCGCGGTTTCTTGGCTCAGCTTCAGACTGTCTTGGTAATTATTGCAGAAACACACCCGAAACCCAAACCCGGCAAACACAGCGAGAGAATGACGGCCCTTCTGTTTGTCTTCCAGGGCGATCGTAGCTTTCAAGCCGCGGCATGCAGAAGCAGGAGCTGTGTTTCTAAAACTTCTTGCGAGGCGCATTCAACCTTGGATAACAACATTCCAAGAGCTATAGTGGGTAGGAACTCTTACAATGCACATGTGCTCATTGGCCCTGCCAGATCGTCGTGCTTGCAATGCTATTAGCATTGCAAGCGCGATGATCTGGCGGGCCAACTATAGTATTGCTCTGAAAACTGCCTCTTTCAGACAGCCGAGGCGAGATCTCGAACCCCGAGCCCTAAGACCAAGTTTAAAGATGAACCTTTAGAGCGTAAAGTGCAACGTAAGACCTAACAGCTGCATCTTTAGCCAAGAACCCTCAAGCTTAAACATGAACCACGGAGGCCCGAAGCCCGAAAACTTCAATCCCCTTCAAACCCCTAAAGATAAGGTATTATAATATACTATATTATGATCTAATATGATATATTATAACATCATATATAACATAACATACAGTAATAGCCTTGAGCCCCTGTCACACGGGATGTTGCTCAGATGCCGACCGGGTCATCCCAGCTGCCTAAACCCGATAAGACCTCGCAGGTGCGAGAAGCCCTCGGGCGAGCATGCTTACGATCAAAGGCGCCTGATTGAAAGCCTAGGAGGGCTGGGTTAGGCTTAAGGTTTGGAAGTTTGCCTGGCCTGTTTACTACTTGTTTGTGTGTGTGTGCACATATTCACAAACCTCTGTGTGTGTGTGTCCATATCTACATCATCAGCATAAGTAGACCCCGGTCCATCTTCACACCCATGTCTGCCCGTCCGTCTGCATGTGTAGTCTATATGTATATGCAGATGGAAACTTTCAACTGGCATAAGTGACTTTCTCAAGGCTTCTAGCTAGAACCCTTTCAGAGTCGGCTCTTTCAGCTACTCTTGGGCCAACAACGAAAGCAGCGACTGCAACAGGTTCTTGGGGCTGGGCCCTTTCGGCATTCAGGGTCTTGGGGGTTCAAGAAGCTTTAGGCTTGGAAAGGGCTAAGTTTGGGAGCCAGGCCTGGCGTAAAATATTTAGGGTGTTTCGATTTAGGCGTTAACTTCAGCCCGAGGTTCAGGATGTTAGGACTTGTTTTTTTGTCCCTGTTGGGATTTTTTCGGATGTAGGGCTGAGGCATTTGGGATTACAGACTTAAGCAAGAATACATCAAGCATGTCACAGACTATTTCTGCTGTCGGATAGCATGTGCGCCAGTTCTTGGTGCAAGGCTTGTTGAAAACCCATGAATGAGTATGTTTCCAGGGCACAAGATTCCATTAAGGTGGGCTATACCGTGAGGCTGTAAGGTTTAGGAAATCTCATGCAGAATGGTTTTGCTGTCTGAAGCTGCACTGGCGAGAATGCGCAACACTTCAAACACAAGGTGAGGCGATCGATTGTATGATGCCAGCATCCACGAAGAAGCGCGGCTTGTGTCATCTCTTACGGGCACTTGGAGTGCCCTGCTATACCCAACACCCGATGCCACTTGCCATGAACAGTCAGCTGGCAGAACTTGCACGCGACAAACCCAAACCAAAGCGCACTCCTTCCTGTCAAGATAGTCCCTAGCTATCGGCAACTCCGCGCTTTGGTCCGTCTGGCATTCATGCCAAGGATGCATGCACGATTACAATGCAGTTCTGCTGAAAGCTTCTAGTCATGGGTGGGAGAACTGGCTTCAATTACGATCAATTTGCCAAGCCCACAACTGTTGAGCTTGAGGCAACCATGACATTCCACGTGCTCGTGGCATGAAGGAGAGACATACCATGTGGTCAGGCGGTGGATGCAGAACAGCACGAGACTTGCGACAGCTCTCTCGTATCCAACATTCATCTGGCGACAGGCAGAAGGAATCATGGGAAAACGTGGAAAGCATGGGCCCGTCCAAAGCTTAAGCCCCATTTTACCAGAATCCAGAAGTACACACTATTTTTGTGCCCTTTCGCTCCAGTTATCCTGAAGTTTGTGTCGGAAACCCCAAGCTATCAACACCAAAAACTTGTAAAGCACGGCGAAACCCCTTCTGAAGTCCGTAGGTTAGGATGTTCCCTGGCCCGTGACGCTCGTGTCCTAGATACGTTGCTTGAAGTGTTATGGGGTCCAGCTTGTTTCTTGTTGTTTGCTCGCACAGACTGAGTTCACGAAGCCGGTTGTTGTGCTGCCTTCTGCAGCTGCGGACCAACTGTACCATGCACTCCAGTCTTGAAGTGATGGCACATCATGCATAGCCCCTCACTGAACTACTGCATGCAGAATCCGGAGTATGTGTCGCATCGTCACTAAGACAAGCAACTCCCCGGCCTACTCCCTACGCAGGGCTTTCATGCGTGACCCTCGCCCCGCACCCCATACATGCATGCACACAAACACACCAAGACAATGAGCGTGCCCGGAAATGTCATGAACGAGAGTACGTGTTCATCCGGCGCCCTCGCTTGCCGTGTCTTGTGCAAATGTGGCGCTGAATGCAACGAGCTCAGGCATCCCCAGCTTGGCAAACATGCTCGAAATCCCAACCACAATGGCCGCAGCGGCTCAAGTTTACAGCCCTTCTTCGTCGCCGCTATCTAGGAACCATGCAGATGCCAGGAATATGGAGGCAAATGAACTTGCCCGCGAAGGCCGCACTCGTCGTAGGCGTAGTGGTCATTTTCATCGGCGCTTGCATTCTCGTCATCGGACAGATAGCGACGGGTAATTGGGGGGGTTCCAGCGATACCTGGACCGAGGGCATCATGGTAGACGGCCTTAGAAGCTTTTATCTGTCGCCAAACATTGTGAACATCAGCGGGGAGGTCAGCGGCGTGGGGACATTCTGGAACATGAAGTTCCTAACATCAAATTCAACCAGAGAGCATTGCAAAGACCACCTGGATTCGCTGAGCATCATCCATGTGGAGACTGGAAGCCGTGAGTTGCTGACATCGACGACTTGCGAAGAACCAGCAGCAGACCTAGGAGGAGCTTACATTGCTCTCATCGACGACCTCTACCTTTACCGGCTTGGAGATTTCACGCCTAACAGGGACTGGGGCACCCACAGCGCTACTAGTGATTACCGCACGTGGGTCTATGACGATACATATATGAGCGACGCTGGGATAGCTGCGGGCGTGGCAGGCGGCATAGTGGGTTCTGTTGCCATTTGTCTCTGTTGCATTGGATGCATCCTCTTGTGTGTGTCCTGGTGCTGCTGCTGCTGTGCAAGCGATTCTGGGCAGGGTGTCGTCACCGGGCCTTTGCCACCGATGGTTGCAGCAGAGGTGGCTCCCCAGCCCCCGTCCTACCAGGGCCCCGAGCCGGTCGTCGTCGTGATGGCCCAGGTGGTGGGACAAGAAGTAAAGCGGAATGAGCAGATTGCGTGAGAGCCCTGCGAAGCTGCTTTGTAAAAGTTCGCTGCTTTGTAAAAGTTCGCGAGATGTAAGTGAACGGAGTAGAGCTCTGGAGATCCGCCAACTGCAGCTCATCCTGATCTCTCCCGGAGAAGCCTCGCCAAACGGCGAGAAGCTTTGGGGTCGTGGCATCGATCAGAGAGTGTAGTCATGCCTAAACCTTAAGGAGTCCTAGTTGGGCAAATGTGCTAATGCTCACGTGGCCGCCTTTTTTTTCCATCGGTTGCTTTCGGCCTCCGTTGTTGAGGTAGTGTAGAATTGCAGCGGCCATTTTCCTCAACTTGCCACAGAAAAAAGGGACGTGTGTGGATCCTGAGCATTTTGCGTGAGTCTCTGAGCTCCACGTTGGAGCCCAAGCGGTAGCGGACGTTGAGCCTGGCGGCGAGTCGCCACTGCTTGGGGCTAACCGTATCGAGCGCGGGCAGCAGCAGACTGGTACTTGGTAATAGTCATTGTTTACTCATACGATCATATCCAACGAATTCCTAATATAAAGTCCCCTTATGCCCTTCCGTATATAATCGCCGCCTTCAACCCCCCCCCCCCACCCCGCTGTTCAAAATACAACGTCCACGCAGAGTCCCTGTAAAGTCTTATTCTCAATGTCCGTCAAAAGCCTATTCTGAAGATGAAGGCCTCTACAGGCCCTACAGTGATCAAAGCATGCAGCGGATGCTCTGATTCATTCTTGCTAATATACGTGTTGCCATCTCAGGAAGTTGTTTGATGTTCGCTAGTGGGGTCGACAAGGGATTTAGGCTTCTGCGCGTGAAGGCTCGGATGCGCTGCATCTAAAATGCATCTATCGCCTTCTAGGTCTTTGGAAGTTGACGGCTGCGCGGTAAAGGATGCCCGGGTAGCCTTAGAGTCTTAGAGCTTAGGGTCTGGATTTGTCGGATTCCCAATCTATACATACATACATATACATATATATATATATACACATATAAATACACATATATGTATTTCGGGATGTCCAGGGATTTTTGGTTCTATGGGTACATGATTCATGGTCACAGTGATTCAACATGTGCGCAGTTCAACGTGGAGCAGCTCTTGAAGCCTTTTGCACCATCGCCTGTGTTAACACGGCTTTAATTATTGCTGTTTCTGAAAGCAGATGTAAACGTCACGAAATGTCATGGAGATCTATTTGCCGGACTCGTTTCTGCCACATGAACTCCGCCCATATTTCCATATACTTTACCGAGCCTTGACCCATGCCTGCGTGACAGCACACGCTCCTTGGACAGGTGCTCTGGCCTGTTGGGACATTCCTGCGTGGGACGAAGGCACAGTCAAGAGAAGAGCTGCCACGGCTAGTGCTGGGCGGGGCACATGCTTGTACGACACCAGGATCCTACATCTTAGAAACATCACTGCGCGCTGCTATAGGAGTGATTCATGAAAGCCAACCTCAAGAGAATCCTGAGATTGCACGCTTGCCGTCCCTACAATTTCGGGTTTCGCTGGTTTCGGGGCTCAGCGCATGGTGTGCGAAAAGCCTCGGTTAGTCGGTGTTGGGTTGGAGCTCATCTGCAAACCTCAAGTAAGACCCAATAAGCGTGCGCAGACCTTCCGAAGTTAATCAAGACCAAGTCGGATTCTCAAGAGGACCTCGGATCAGGCTTAGCCCCGGACTGGTGACAACGAGCGAAGTGTTCTTGACCAATATAGCGACCTTAACAATTACCTATACTCTTTTGGGGGCTCCTTATTATAATTGCAGTATCGTATACCCCAGAATCATACTCTTGTTCGAATTATTAAAAGGGCCATGCACTTGCGTTTGTTTCGGATGGGTCCTGAAAGTGCAGGCAGGGAAACCCAGAGCTTATGAGATCTGGCCCCTGGCGGAAAACCACAGCGACCACCAAGTTTGACAGGGGCCAAAGTTAAAGATGTAACAAGTCAGACGCAGAACTTGAAATGTTGAGTCGTCCGATGTCGAGAGACTGTTCTCGGGCCAGGGTTCACGGTTCTTTAGATCCGCGGTGCAATTCAGGAAGCGTGCTGTGCAGATGACGGACAGTCTCGCAAACCTCACCGTGCAAACCCCCTCGCGCTTCGCAGGAAATGCTCGCTCAGTTCGCGTGGGACATCTTTGGAGAAGCAGGAACCCAGCAAGCACCACTCGCATGATGCACTGATGTTGGGATTTAGGCGATTCCGATTGGCATTGTGCATCGGCAAGAGTCACTCTGAATTCCTAGCTCTTTCCTAAGCTAGGGGCTCTAGGCAATGCTCCAGAAGCGGCCGGTTCCGTACCATCCTGAACAGTTTTTTTCTTGAAGTCTTGCCATTTACCACTAGTACTACTGCTGCTTCTGCTACCATTACTGCTACTGCTACTGCTGCTGCTGCTGCTGCTACTAGTACGACTACGACTACGACTACGACTACGACTACTACTACTACTAGTACTACGACGACGACGACGACGACTGCTACTACTGCTGCTACTAC